GTCCTGCCTCCAGGTCGGGGCACCTCTCTGCCCTTTGTGCTTCTAAAACCACCAGGCGCTCCCAGTTCGCGCACGCGTGACTCCACCGCTTGGGGTTTCCACCCCCGGGGGTTGCAGTTCACTGGCGGGACATGGCGCACCGGGTTTCCGTCTGGGAGGCTGCAGTTCGTGTGCGCGCGACCGTCGCTCTGGTTTCTGTCCGGGGGAGCTGCGGTTCACGTGCTCGCGACCCCGCCGGTCTGGTTTTCCACCCCGGGGGTTGCCCTGAAGTTCTTTCCCGACGCTACCGGTCTGTGAGTCTGTGCCCCGTCCGCAGCGCGGGAGGCTGTCATTCACCGGCGGTGTAGGATCCCCACGTCCAGGCACCCTCCCGCCGCCGTTTATCCTCCGATATCTGCCCTCAGGATCACGGCTCTCGGCTTCGTACCTCAAAACCAACTGCCTGCGATATTCTGTTTGTAGAGATCCAGATCTTCTTACGTCTCAGGCTGGTTTCGTGGGTGCTCAGAGTGGTCTGGTAGATATCCAGCTCAATTCCGGGGACCAGTTGAAATAGGGTCCCCTACTCCTCCGCCATCTTTCCCCTCTCCACTCTATTCTATATTTCTATTGAACAGTCCAAATAACAGTAGAATTGAGGGATAGAACCCCTAGCCTACTAGATAGAACCTTCACTCTGTAAGAACACTAGACAAGGTCTCTGATGATCTGGCCTATCTTTTCAGGCTCGTGGCCAGTTCCTCGGCCCTGTCTACTTTGTGCCCCAGCTACACTGAAATACACCTTAGCTGTTTTCATGAACAAGTACCTTGGCTCACGTTGTTCTGTCCATCTAGAATGTGTTCACATCTCTGCCTGGCAGACACTTACCTATTAATCAGGTGTCCACGCAAGTCTTTCCTCGTTCATGAATCCTCAAGCTGACCTAAGAGTCCCATTGTCCTTTCCTGTGTCTGCTCCCCACCCACCATGTTTCCACATCTCCAGACTAGCAAAGCTTTCCATTTCCTTGGACTATGGAGTTGCATGCCTGACTCCCAGTCTGACTAGAGCTCTTTGAAGGGAGTATGTTTTTTCTTCTTTGATTCACCAGCGCTTAACGGTGCCTGGCACATGGTAGAGTCTCAATAGATATTTGTTAAATATGTAAATAATGGGATCGGATGACCCATCTGCTGTACTCACTGTGTTCTGTACGCCAGCTTTCTTTATCCTCAGAACCACATTTGCTGAGACATTTGTTCTTTCTTTCAATTCTCTATGTAAAAGAAAATGCTAATCATCTCAATATAATTGAAACTTTCTTATCCAAAAAAATGTATAATCTGTGACCGTTAAATTGGACTGATTTTTACTAATGGTAAAACAAAAAGTCAAAAAAATGTTTTCAGAATGATTGCAAACATGGCTAGAATATGACATTACCCATACATGAGGGAAGATCAGAGTTTCCCAAATTAAAGTCCTAGGAACAGAAGAGAAAGAACTAAGAGAAATATCAGTGAGCTTGTGAGAGACAATAGAAACTGAAGACATTCAGCAATTATGATGTGTGTGTGATCTTCAAATCCAAATCCAAAGAATACTGGTGCAGCTATATAAAAGCTTGTTTTTTTTTATTATTATTTCAGATGAGATTGTTATTCTCTTATGAACATTGGTGTCTAGAATATGAATTACTATGCTAAGTTTCTGTCTAGCAAATTACCAGAGGCTGGGCCCAAAGAAATACAATAAGTCAATTTCACTGCTCTTTTGGCTACACTTACCCTCAGACCCAAAATCCCTCTCTGCAAACCTCTTTTTGTTACTTCCTGCCCGTCGGTTTTACTAGAAGAGCAGTCAGCTGGGACTTGCACTGGCACATCGCGTTCACTGTTGGATCTTTTTTTTTTTTTTCCTGGGCATGCTTCACCTTGGTGAAATAGGTCCTAATTAGGAATCAGATCACTGATTGTTTTTCAGATGGCGAAAAGGCAGATATATCCGCTAACGTCTATCCAGACATAAACATCATCACTGGAGCCCTTAAACTGTACTTCAGAGACTTACCCATTCCTGTTATCACCTATGACACCTATCCCAAATTTATCGAGGCAGCCAGTAAGTATTGAGAACTAACCTTTTATTTGTACCAAATTGTGAAGTGGAATGCTTTTAACTTCAGGAAAATTAAAACGCACGACTGTTTAAATTATCCCATGAGCGCTCACTTTGCCAAGTGAGGGCACAATGGTACAGTTAATAGAAAGCCAGGCCTAGTTCACCAGCTGAGTTGAACCAGTACCCACCACCTCTGCTCAGCTAAAGCTGGGCGCCAGGCAGTTCTCTCTCCATATTGTCCCTTCTATGCTGGAACCGGCCCCGTCAGGGCTACTCTGTTATATGTTGAAAGCAAAAATGTGTCTCTAGTAAACAATCAGATGTTCTACAATGAGGACTGTATAGATAACTACTTTCATCCATTAATCACACTCCCATTGCTAATCGATTAAAGTTAGACCCCAAGCTATGCCCACTGATGTTGTTCAAAATTGACAATACTGTGTCAAGGACTATACCAGGACCTCTCAATAATATCCTCTGGTTTAAGCTTCCCAACTACCTGATGAGGCAAATATCATAATCCCCTTTCACAGAGCAGGAAAGCTAATGTCCAAGAGCTGAGCTCACAGGGCCAGGAACTGAACATCATCATTGTTGGTCTTCCTTCAGCCCATGGTTGCTCATTAGTGTTTGGCACTTGGGTAGACTGCTGTCAGGAGGGAGGACCATATTGGGGTGGGAGGTAGGGGGCAGGGAGCGAGAAGTGGTGCTGCACTTTGCCCAGGAACATAGGAAGGAAGGGGAGTCAGCTGATAGGATGCATGGCATAGAAATCAAGCACATTTTGAGGAATTTCTTATGAAAAATACCTTCGAAGGTAAATATAATAATAAGATGCCTGATGGGGACAAACATGGGCAGGCTGGGATTAGTGCAAGATGCACTTTCCTGATGAGTTATGGCCCCACTTCCCAGTAAGAGCATTCTTTCCTGGGTCCTGGTAGTCCTGTGTGGAGAAGGTTCTGGCAGCTGGGTACCCTCTGCCCCAGGAGGAATGGCAGGGGAACTTTCTTTGAATGACTGCCAATTCCTATCAGAGCCCTAAAATGCAGAAGCATGCATGTTTCCTCCCTTGGTGAATGTGCCTCATATCTACTTCCTAAGGCGGACTGTACAGCGGGGTTCAGAATGCCAACACTCTGGTGAACAGCGCCATGAGTGCAAGCTGCGCTCATGGGCTCATATGGGCCAGCGCCCTTGGGTCGTAGGGTGTATTCAGTCATGGAAGCCTTCCAGGAAAAGGCTTGTCAGACAACTGCAGGAGAACACTACCAAGTGTGATCCGCTTTAAATTAAAGCTTGTGGTAGTGAGATCTCTAGCAAGTCCGGCATTCAGAAGATGAGCAAAACCATTTGGGCCACCAGCAAACATCTCCAGGACTGCAGATTCCTGGCAGGGCAAGGACCATGCCCAGCCTCCTGTCACCCGCCCACTGGGTGTTCAATACATGTGTGGTTGCCAACCTCCAACCCTTTCTGGAAGAAGGCAAGACACAAATGCATTGATTAGTTTAAGTGAAATGTTACCTGAAATAGCATGAACTTATTAGGCTTCCCTTCCACCTGTAACCAGAACAAACCAAACTTGTTACTTCTCTGAAAACTTTAATGTTCCAGCATGGCACTGACTCATGTGGGCTCTTCACAGAAATCTCCAATGCCGACGAGAGGCTGGAAGCCGTCCATGACGTGCTGATGCTTCTGCCTCCAGCCCACTACGAGACCCTCCGATACCTGATGATCCACCTCAAGAAGTAAGCTGACAGCTCCTTGACACGCCCTCTGTAAACCCTGTCTGCCTGGGACAGTGAACGCATTAGGAAGAGTTAACAACCTTCCTCCCCAACCCGCTGAGTAGACAGACTCTCCTTTAAAGTGAACTCTGGGGCCTTCACTAGGCCAGCCCCATTTGTAACTGCTAGAACTCCGACTCCGTGCCCGGAGGTGCGCCACACACTTTACACGGGTTATCTCTGTGAGGTGGGTATTGTTAGGGGCCTCAGGTTACAGACAAGATTGCTGACGTTTAAGGAAGTAAAATAACTGATGGGAAGAGGTAAAGTGAAGCCAGGATTGAAATCCAGGCAGTGTGATTGAGAGCCCATGCTCTACCTTGGCCATTTGTCTACACTGCCTCCATGTCTGCATCTGCCGCCCACACAAGCCCTATATATACTCTGTGTTCTGTTCTTCCTCCTTCTGCTCGTTCTAGTTCCGGACTCCTGAGCCTGCCTTGCTTCTGGGCAGGCACATTCCCATCCTGATCCCTTGGTTTTCTTGATGAATTGGTGACCTATCACCAAGTAACAAATTGCCCTCAAACTCGGAGGCTTGAAACGATAAAGATTTATTATCTCACAGTCTCTGTGATCAGGAACTCAGGTGTGGCTTAACTGGCTGCCTCTGGTTCAAGGCCTCTAATGAGGTTATGACTGAACCCACGGCCAGGCTGCAATCTCAACTAAAGGCTCAACTAGGGGAGCGTGCGCTTCCAAGCTCACTCATGAGGTGCTTGCCTAGATTCCGTTCCCCAGAGGGTGTGTGACTGGAGGCCTCATTTTCTTGCTGACTGTTTGCTGGAGGCCACCCACAGCTCCCTGCCATGTGGGTCTCCCCACAGGCAGCTCACAAAATGGCTGCTGGCTTTCCTCAGAGCTAGCAAGGAAGAGCACCCAAGACAAAAGGTATAGTGTTTCCATAACCTAATTTCAGAAGTGACATCCAGGGGCGCCTGGGTGGCTCAGACGGTTAAGCGTCTGCCTTCGGCTCGGGTCATGATCTCAGGGTCCTGGGATCGAGTTCCGCATCGGGCTCCCTGCTCCTTGGGAGCCTGCTTCTCCCTCTGCCTCTCTCTCTGTCTCTCTGTCTCTCATGAATGAATAAATAAAATCTTTAAAAAAAAAAAGAAGTGACATCCAGCTGCTTTCACTACATTCTGTTTGTTGGAAGTAAGTCACCAGTGCAGCGCATACATTAGGGGAAGGGATCACACAATCCCTTCACACATACAAGAGTATGAATTACAGGAAGCAGGGATCACTGTGAGCCATCTCAGAAGGCACCCACCATGGAGGGCTCTGCACTGGGTTGTCTGTGTGACAGCACATAAGACGGATGGAGATGTTTGAGTATTTACAGGACCCTGGTTCCAGACTCTTACTGCAACTGTGGATCTCTTTTCTTCACTGTACATATATAATGAAGTCAGTGAGTTGGTCTTTGAGATGTTGGAGGGATCAGGGCATTTCTGTGCACCTTCCTCTGTGTTTTTGGAAGACACAAAAAAGTGGCCCATTCTTAGATAAAATGAACCAAAAATTGTCTGCACTGACTAGTTTACAGATCCATTCAAAAGTGAAAGGAAGCAAGTTGAGAATATAAACTCTTGGTGTTGAAGTTTTTGTTTTTTACCGTTTAAAACATAAAAATATTGTTGCTGATATTCATGGTGATCAGAGATGTAATAACATTTAGCTCAGAAGGTGTCAATTTTGATTAATCTATTGAATTTAAGAGTATGAGCAATTTTTGAATAAGTAATAGACTATGAATGCCAGCCTGGCTTTTAGTTAGCCATAAATTATTTCCTTAGAAAGAAATTAGTTCTAATTGTTACAGTTTGGAAGGCAAAGAATCATTATTAGGAAAAATGCTGATATGTCCCAGTTGAATCTTTAATGCCAATAATTTCGTATTTTTACCATGGAGGGTTTGTCAGCCACCTTGTTTGGCCAGGTGGGTGCCTGACTTAATGGGTAGATGTGAGCAATTTGATAATGAAGAATGTTCCTCTTTTCTACCTCCTTAGTTTTGCAACAGGAAAATAATGCAAGCTGAATTGGCCTTCCTAAAAGAATACTAAGTGGCCAATCTTAATTAGCTCCAAGAGAATAAAAACAAAGGGATGGCCTTCTGTGTGGAACCTAAACATGTTTTAATCATATTTTGCCCTTCTATGGATAACCTACTGTCTTTTAGTTCTACTACGAACATCCAAAAAACCTCAATTCCTTAAAACAAGACTCTAGCAGACTGTAATTTTATCCCACTAGGAAGGTATTAAGCCAACTCTGGAGTTTGACTTTTATTCTTAAAGGCTTTGCTGTTCTCATCTGGATGTTGAAATGATGATTTTCAATTCCAACAATAATTACTGCTCCAGACCTCATCCTGTGGGAACTAGAAATAATGTCCAACTCTTTTCCTGTTTGGCCACATTCCAGCCATTCCCCTGTCCCGTGATAATGGTCTGGCTCTTCCTACGCTTGTGGCAGCCCCATCCTACAGTAACCTTGCCCCTCTGACACTAGGCCTGCCAGCAGACTGGAGATCTGTCCTCAGCTTCCCTGCCCGGGAGCATACAGACCAGCAGGAAGCAGCTATGGGGAAGAAAAGACTTCCACACAAGCCTAGACTAAAATCTGTATGCACCATGGGCCAGCTAAGAATCTGCTGCCCCTTTCAACCAATATCCCCTAATCACATTTCCACATTTATTTAGTAAGAAGGACTGATTTTCTAATTTTAAAGATGTGTCTCTACCAGATTCACTAAGTAATTCACTTCCACTGGCTGAAGGCAATGTCAACAATGTAAAAAGAAAAAAAAAAATCAGAAAGTTACCTTTTTTAAAAAAGCTTTATTTATTTACTTATTTACTTACTTATCTGAGAGAGTGAGAGCATGGGAGAGCGTAAGCAGGGAGAGGGGCAGAGGGAGAGGGACAAGCAGACTCCATGCTGAGTGCTGGGCCCAAAGTGGGGCTCAGTCCCATGAGCCTGAGATCATGACCTGAGCCAAAATCAAGAGTCGGATGCTTAACCGACTGAGCCACCCAGGTGCCCCCCAAAAATTACCTTTTAAAAAAATACCTTTCTAGGGGCACCTGGGTGGCTCAGTTGCTTAAGCGACTGCCTTTGGCTCAGGTCATGATCCCAGAATCCTGGGATGGAGTCCTGCTTCGGGCTCCCTGCTCAGCAGGGAGTCTGCTTCTCCCTCTGACCCTCCTCCCTCTCATGCTCTCTCTCATTCTCAAATAAATAAATAAAATCTTTTAAAAATTAAAAAAAAATACTTTTCTATAATTCTGATTCTCAATTTTCTTTTACAACTTCCCAAACCAGAGAAATTCTTGGGAGCATACATGCATAATGAGTATAAAAATTCATCCGCAAGTCTATGTAACATCTCTGTGTATGTGTCTATTTTGCAGGGTGACAATGAATGAGAAGGACAATTTCATGAATGCTGAAAATCTGGGGATCGTGTTTGGGCCCACGCTGATGAGGTCCCCCGAGGACAGCACCCTCACCACCCTCCATGACATGCGGTACCAAAAGCTGATTGTGCAGATTTTAATAGAAAATGAAGATGTTTTGTTTTAATCCACCAGGGAAATGAGACGAATGGCCCCAGCCCCATCTTGTTGATAAGGCTAAAGGAACAAAAACACTTCTTACAACACTTGATTTCTTTTTTAAACAAGTGACAGAATTTCCTGGACCGCAGTGGATTGTCAAGTCGGCTACTGTGTCTCATAGACACCCGCCTCCTCCACGTGAGAACAGCAGGGGTGAGAGTGACCAAAGGCCCTGTCTTGGGTCTTTGCTGTGCCTCCTACATATGTCTGTTTTGCTGGAAGAGTGATTAATAAATCTTTCTTTAACTTATTAAAAAAAACAAGGTAGATCTTTACGCTTCAGTCTTATCAGTAATAAAAGGGAATTTAATTCATAGAGGTACTTGATACAGTTATACATTTTCCACTTACAAGAAGAAGACAATTCTATGTTAAATGTTAAATGAAACTTATATTGTAAAATGTATTTTTATTTTAGCTGCAAGAATGTTACTTTATTTCAGCAAATAGAACTCAATGCAGTGCATTGATTATGACCCTGTGTACCTTGTCCTGCTTCTTGCTGTGATCCCTGAAAAAGTTTACCATGAATGCAGTATTATCTTGACATACCTCTGTCCTTATTAGTGCTTTGCAATGGAAGTTCACCGGCCACCTGTGTCCCTGCTTTTGATAGGTTTTGCCGTTAAGCACGGGCATCTTGCAGTCGTACGGTATATGTTTATAGCAATTGTAGGATGGTCTGAAACATCCAGATTTTCTTTCCATAAAAGTTTTGTGAAATCCCAAAGTATGTTTTGGCATTGGTCAGAGTCTTTCCATATCATGTGTGTATATCCCAGAACATGCAGAATGTGGTCATTTTACATAAAATGATGTGGGAACACTGGTTGAATCTGGGCCATGTAAAAAGTGAGCACTTTCCCTATGTCTTTTCAGGCCAGCACTCGGAAGTAACCAATTAATGGCAAGTTGTATTGTTGTCACATTTCTGTATTTATGAAAAGTGAATTACTGATTACTGATTTTTTTTCCATTTTTGTTTTATAAACAAGCCTATTTTTCAAAGTAAGAATGAATAAGTTTGGTTTTTACAAATATTTGTTCCTACTTGATAAAAGTAGCTCTGTATGGATCATAATTTAATACGATTTGATCGCGATAGTTCCATCTTCTGGGTTATAAATTTAGCTTAGCATGAGCTTTTCACAGCAAGATCTCTATATTTGGTAACATAGGTAAAATATTTAAAGCATCAAAACCTGTAAATTTAATTTTTTTTTTCTGAAATCCAACTACAATGTCTTTTCCTCTGATTGTCTGAGATGATCCATGTACTTACTGGCTAGTTTTATTTTGGAGTGACCAGAAGAGAATTACTGTGTGGTGCGTGAGCTGAAAGGAGGAAAGCAGTGCAATCGTCCTGGACAGTTCCAAGGGCTACGCGGATGGACTCCGTTGGCACACGGTGGGGGGGGAGGGGTCAAAATGGTTCTGCTGGGTCCCTGCTATTATTGTTCCTCCCAACTGTACAGATTTGTTGGTTGTAGCTTATGTACTTCTTGATACTGTCAAAAAATCATCTGAAAATGGTTTTATTTTGTGAAGTGAATAATACTTTGTAATTTATGATAGTGTAAATGGAAGGAAAAGCATTAAATGTATTAAATTCTTCTGTCTATCACCTTGGAGTGTGCGAAGAAAATTGGTGTTGGGGAGTGGCGGGGGTGGGGGCAGGTTACGGGGAGAATATTTAAAAGATTGCTTCCAGATGGGATTTGGCAATAGAGTTTCTATCCTCACCAAAACATGATGAGGAAACAGAAACATCCCACTGAGTCCCAACCCTCCTCCAGCTTCCCTCTGGAGAGCCTGCTTGAGATTAGGATTCTAATGCTCCCCCTTCACTGTCTCTAAGACCTGCTGCATTCATGTTTTTTTTTCATTAAGAGATGTAGTGTTTAGAGCAAATCCCCCTAGGTCATCCACAGGAGGGCAGAACAAGAGTTCTGGAGCCAGAAAGACGAGCTCAAATCCCAGATCTCGGCTAGCAGCAGCAGATGACCTTGGGAATGAGTTTGCTCATCTGAAAAACTGGGGAAAATATTCTGGTTAGATGAAGTGATGATCTAATTAGTAATAGTTATTTCTTCTTATTATCATTAGTAAGAGTGATGACTTAGTAGGGGAAAAAATATAACAGGGGGTAGGAAGGCAGAAGCATGAGAAGAAAAGGGCTTGTCCCAGGTTAAATCCAAGTTCAAGTAATAATAAGGGATATTATAACAGGGTTCTATAATACATAACAAGGGTCACCTGACTCCTTTTCTCGACTGTTATCACAACACCTGATCCCGTCTCTCTTGCTTCAGTCTGAATTCTGCTCACCCACACCTATCTCCCCCACCATCTGGCAGCCTGATATGGCTCCTCTTACCTGGCTTGAAATTCCTACCATTGGAATAATAACTCTAGTAGTTAAGACCTGAAAGGAGGCAGCATTGTTTCCAGAAACACACTGTTAAATTGTCTACAAGTGGGTTGTGGGAAGCCAGACAGGAGCAGAGTGGGTGGGAGAAGACAGTTCTGAGGATGGGAGGAGAAGCCATTTCTTCCTCCCATTAACATAAATGGGCACCGGGTCTCCACAGCTGGGAGGGGGCTGGTGCTGAATTTCAAGGAGAGCAGGCTGGAAGGGCAGAGGGAGGGAGGGAGGTAAGGAGAGCATAGGACAGTCACATACCACAAACAGCTCACGGATTGTCTGGGCTGTCCTGATTCCTACCGAAAACTCAACTCAGTTAGCTTACGAATTCCCAAGATCTATCAATCCCCAAATTTATAATTAATCTTTTGATTTAAAAAATGTAATGTTCATTGATTTTCAACAAATATTTATCAAGCATTTATTAATGGGCCAGACACTGAATACTTGGAAGCAAGGAAGAAACTTATCTCACTGGAAGAATTAAATTTAGTCTGGCTAGAGAGAGAAAGCTGCTTGTGTTGAGGGTTTTGGACTGTAACATCAGGGAAATGAGTGCCACTAATTTTTTTTTAAGATTTCTCTATTTAGGGGCACCTGGGTGGCTCAGTCATTAAGTGCCTGCCTTCGGCTCAGGTCATGATCCCAGGGTTCTGGGATCAAGCCCCGCATCGGGCTCCCTGCTCCGCGGGAAGCCTGCTTCTCCCTCTCCTGCTCCCCCTGCTTGTGTTCCCTCTCTCACTGTGTCTCTCTCTGTCAAATAAATAAAATCTTTAAAAAAAAAAAGAAAAAGATTTCTTTATTTATTTGAGAGAGAGAGAGAGCCTATGGGGGGGCAGGGAGAATCTCAAGCAGACTCCCTGCTGAGCACAGAGCCTGACAAGAGGCTCAATCCCATGACCCTGAGACCATGACCTGAGCCCAAAATCAAGAGTCGGACACTTAACCAACTGAGCTACCAGGTGCCCCTAATTTTTTTAAATAAACTTAATTTTGGAATAGTTTTATATTTACAGAAAAGTTGCAAAGATACTGCAGAGTTCCTGTGTCCTCCTCACCTACCCTCCACTAGTGATAACATCTTATGTAACCCTGGTACATGTATCAAAACTAAGAAACCAACACTGGCACATTACTGTTAACTAAAGCCCAGAAGTTATTCAGATTTTATGGGTTTTCTACCAATATCCTTTTCTGTCCTGGGATACCATCCAGGGCACCACGTTGCACTAGCATTAATGGGTTATAAGGGACAGATGACACAATCTAGTTTACATTTTTAAAAGATCACTTACTTGGCTGTGGATCCATCGGAGAACATGTGGGCGGATGCAGGCAGTGAGGGTAGATGCAGTTAGATGTTCTCCTTGTCATAAAGGACTGCGGTGATGTAGCCTGCATTGGGGGGATAGCAAAGCAGAGTCAGCTAGAATTGAGTCATAGTGAGGAGGCAGAGTTGAAAAGGTTTGGTTATAGACTGGATTAAAGAATCAAGGATGATTCCCAGGTGGCTTAATTTGACCACTAGATAGTATTTACTGAAAAGAAGATGGAAAGAGGAGTTGGCAGTCTAGAGGAGAGGCGGGAAAAGTAGGGAAGATGGTGAGGTCCATTTTGGACATGGTGAAACAGAGATCGCTGTGAAATTTCCAAGCAGAGATGTTTCATGAGCAATTGCACTGACAGACCGCAGCTAGAGATATGTTTCTGGGAGGTAACAACCATGGGATTGAATGGAAGGACTCAAGGACACAGAACAGAGAAACAGGTGAGAGTCCTGGTTCAGAGTTCTGTGGAGCACCAACATTCAGGAAAGAGGAGCGAGCAAATGAGGTGTGTTCTAATGCAGTAAAATAGAGTCTCATGAGTGCAGTTTAGAAAGCCTCTGTTCCTTGTCTTCACCTTTGTTTCACAATGTCCTAATCCATGTCTTTGTCCCACTTAGATTTACTTTGCTACATGTGAGGCACCACGTTCAACCCAGTGCTTTGGAGGACTTAGCTTATTTTGTAAATGCAAATGAGCCAGAGTCATTTTTCTTAAGTTTAGTTGAAAAGATGGTATCATACTCACGGACCTCCTTCACTGCCTTCCTACTGCAGTTTGTACACCTGTTCACCCAGCCCTTATCCCAAAGTGCCGTGAGTGTGGGTTCATCTGTCTCCCACTGAAGTACACACTCTGAGACCAGGAGCCCTGGATCCCACATGCTGGCCAGGCACCTTCCTGCACAGCCTGCAAGTCTCAACTCCATGTTCATCTCCCTGCTGAGACCTTCCCGGGCTTCTCTGGGCAGAGAACAGAGCAGGTACCAGCCATAAACACGTGGAAGCATGGGAAACTTAGAGAACTACAGAGCTGGGTTTAACTAGAATGTTAAGTGTGAGGGAAGAGGAGGGGAAGTGAGATTAAACAAACAGGACTGTGCCAGGAACAAGGAACCTTGCAAGCCGAGCACAAGTCAAACTCAGGAAGGTCTGTCTGGTGACACAGGGAGGGTAGACCAGAAGATTTAAGACTAGCGCCATGGAAGCTAATCCGGAAACTGTTAGAGGCAACGCCCACGTGAACTTGGCTTCCCAGAGGAGCAATGGAGAAGAGTCATGGATATGAGAGAGACTTAAGAGGTTGTTTGATGCCAGAAATGAAAGGAAGGAGTCACAAATGATGCCCCCATGTCTGGCTTTTGCAACTAAATGAATATTTAGGAAGATAATAGAACATGGGAAGGGGAGCAGGTTCAGCAAGGGAAAATCATGGGTGCAGTTTGTAGGATGCATTATGGTGCTAATGGTTCGCCCACATGGAAATGTCTGGTAGGCAGTTGGACAGATGGTTTTGGAGCTCAAGAAAGGGGGATATGCAGGTCATACCTGACCTGGTCAGATTGTATGGACAGGTGAAGTAGAGAGGACCAATAGTAGGTCCCTGGGTAAGAACAAAGTCCGAGGAGCAGGCAAAGTTAAAGGAAGATCAGGAAAGGTCAGAGGAAGAGGGACAGAGTGGGGAGTGTAAGATGAAAGCAGGGAAGACAGAACTTCAGGGATGGAGGGGACGCTGGCTCATATGCTGTGGCAAGGTGATAAGGTGATGGATGAGTCACTTTTCGATATGGCAACTAAGGAGTCCCTCATAACTTAACAGGAGCTTTTCAACTTGGATGATGTGGTGAAAGGCAGCCTGCTGAACCTTAAGGAGTGAATGGGGGTGAAGAATGAAGATAAAACCTATCATCAGAAAAAGCAATGAAGCTCTCTTTCTGTAGGCTTGTGCACCTCATATATATGGTAAAGCATCTACAGGAGCACATTTTTCATTGTTGCCAAAAAATTATTACCTTAACATACTTTCCTGAAAAATTGTATACTTCAAAATCTTCATAAAGAGTTAACTGAGTATTACTAGAACAGATTTTTGGTCACTCCAGTTAACCAAACATGATACCTGATTTTTTCTGTCCTAATCTGTAAAATGGGTATAATCCTGGTTTTGTTCTAGTTCCCTAATCTGAAAATGGGCATAATAACAGAATATCTGCTCTTCCCTCCCTATCAGAGTGCTTCTAAAGATCCATTGAGATCTTGAATGTGAAAACAGAAGGCTCAGTATAAACTCTATAGCAATGTACAAATTGTTAATTATCCTACATACACAGAACCACCCTTCCAAAACCAATCCTGTCAGGTGGGGCAAGCCCACATTGGTCCATTAATTGGCAGGGTTGGAGGATATGGAGGCATGGGATGGAGCAGGACATTCCTGTCAGGGGCAACACGGGGCTGCAAGAATCAGATGTGGAGGCCAAATAGCCCATCAAGGGAAGACGTTAAGACCCCAAAGTCCATGCAGAGAAGACCTGTGGCAAGACAAAAATAGACCTCATCAAGCCAAGAATTCAGGGCCAGAGACCAAATCAGAAACAAGTAGGTGCATGCGTGCCTCTGTGTTGTGTGTGTGTGTGTGTGTGTGTGTGTGTGTGTGTGTGTGTGTGTTTGGGAGAAGGGGTATGGGGTTACTTTCTAAGGGGTCACTGATAAAACCCATGAGGTCTTTATGGGCCAACAAGTTCATGACTCTGGGGTCGGTCAAACTGATTGCCCCCCGTCTCCAGCGTGGCAAGATCAATATAGTACCATAGCCCATAAGGACTGCTTCTTGAGCATGGATTACTTACTTTTGTTAATACGGAGAAAATCACT